TGCAATCTGCATGAACTGATGACAAACTCATCCGTACATAAGCAGTAGAATGGCAGATTTCTAGAATCATTTTTCAATATTAATAATATGGGCAAAGTACACAAATGATCCCTAATAACAATAATGCTTTGTTGAGCCTCGATCATTAAAAGTTACAAAATGATTCCCGACTATAGGACGTTACTTTGTCGAGTCACCTGACTATTATATGTTCAAAACTCGTCATTTTCCGTTAAAAGATTGACGACAATCTAAGCTGGCTGTTTAACTCATTAATTGAAATATGATAAAATTTGATCCTATAATCTCAAACGACTATCATATCTTGATTACATAACGTCCAGCTCAGACGATCGTTAATTTTTTAACAAAAAGGACGAGTTTGAAAGATATGAATAGTCAGATGATTATTTTGTAACTTTTAATAGTCGAATGACTCAACAAAGCAACACCCTATAGTTGGAGGATCATTTTGTAACTTTTAATAGTCGAGAGACTTAACAAAATAATATCGTATAATCAGGGACCAAATTTTATACTTTACCCTAATAATATTTGTAATAGAAACGAAAGTTTCCTTTGTTTTAAAAGGAGGTATAGGGGAGGTGAAAACAATAGGATGGGGCTCAATTTATTTGGTTTAAGACTTGTGTACTGATTTTATGCCACCACCTCCTCTATCTCGAGGTCGCTTCCTATGGTGCAATTTGGCCTCACCTATGCCTCATTTTTTCAGTATTTTCCTCTCTTTTTCTAATGGAATAACGTGAGGAGATGGATATTTTGTGGTTTTTAATTCTAATCATAATCAAGAATTAAAATAGTAATATGCTATTAATATTATTTAAAGTTATTATTATACAACTACGATAAATGTAACGATAATAATATCTATTATATTTGTAATGACGATATATACAGTATAACTGAGCTTCAATTAAAATGGGTGTCATAATATTTATTGTGTGGGGTTGTAGAGAGGGTGAGTGTGGTCAGGTAAGGACGAGGCGTGAGAGAAATGAAGGGCATAATGCCAGTTTTGATGGAGGCAGGTTTACGGGACCAGATGGCGACCTATCCTATGATTCTACGTTTCCATTTCTCTCTTTATCTCCATTTTTATTTTACTTGTTCTAAATAGCCGACAACAGTTCAGCTCTTCCCCCGCCTTTAAATTCACACATTAACCACATTGTTTGCATGCACCCCAAAAGCCAAGTAAACCCCAACCTTCTTTCGTCTTCTTCTCTCACGTAATTCACTTTGTTGCACCCCAAAAGACAGTTTTTCTACAAACACCCTCTGCTAACTCTCATTTTCCACGCTTCTTTTGGTCTCCTCTGGGAACAACTACTGATAAATTTGGTTTCGATTTGAAGAGGAAAGAAGACAAAGCAAAAGTGCAGAGAAATGGATTGGAATAGCACTTTTCGACCCTTTGTTTCTCGACCCGAACCTTCTCTAAACTTCCTCTATAACTACAATTACGATCAGTATCAAGGTAATATATCTTTATCTGGACAAACAAACAAGTAGTGAGTTCAACTTCTATACCTTTTATTTGTTGATCGTCCCCTTTTTTTTGTAAGGTATGGAGATGAAGCATCAAGGATTTGTCGCAGAGGTGGGGAATGGACTGGTTCCAGGTTTGAAGAACAGCTTTAGCATCGGCAGCAATCAAGATAAGAAGAAGCGTTTAACGAGTGATCAGTTGGATTCGTTGGAGAGGAGTTTCCAGGAAGAGATTAAATTGGATCCCGACAGGAAAATGAAGCTTTCCAGGGAACTTGGACTTCAACCCAGACAAATTGCTGTCTGGTTCCAAAACAGGCGTGCTAGATGGAAATCTAAGCAGCTCGAGCGATTATATGATACGCTTAAACAAGAGTACGATGTTGTCTACAGGGAGAAACAGAAGCTTCAAGATGAGGTTACCATATACATATCTTTTTATATGGATGTTTATTTGGTGCCCAGTTTTATAAACGAATATATACTCTTTTTTATCTCTATTCTGAGGCCTAACCCTACTTGTGAATTTTGAATCCTTTATGCAGGTGATGAAACTGAAAGGTATGATGAGGGAACAGGCGACGAGAAACCAAGTGTCCACAGTGTACACGGAAATCTCCGGCGAAGAAACGGTGGAAAGCACCTCAATCCGGAGCTCAAACAAGCCGAGGATGGCCGGAAACCCCCAGCATCCGATGGCCGAATGCAACTACGTTTTCAATGTGGAGGAGTATAACCCAGTTTCATCTCCCTACTGGGGTGTTCAACTGCCTTCTTATCCCTAATAAACTACGTAATCTTAGAGTTTGCTTAGATATTCAGCTTAGGTCTTTTAGTTTGTAGTAAGATTCAGAAAGATGTAGTGATGTTCTGGTTGAAGAAGCCTTTGTTGGGGAATATTGACATGGCGTTAATGACTGATATATATATATATATGTTTAACAAGTCATAGGGTGCATCAATGAGTATTGGAGAGCTTGAAAAACTTTTTGCATGAATAAGGCTGAGTTTTCTGTTCCCGTCTCCCCCCTCGTTTTTGATGCTATTGTTGGAAATCTGAAGGAATGCTTTAGAGCCACTTAAAATGACTGTTTAATGGAATAAGTTTAGAAAGGCGAAGCTGTTATCAGCTGCTTTAGGACAAAACACAAAAGAGACAAGTATGCATGTCCACCAGAACAAATTTATCTCGTCATCCTCTATGGATAGACGATTCACTTTTTCTTATTTAAATAAGTGAAGCAACAATCTTGTTGATCCACGAAGCAAACTTATTCCTATCAACGAAATATAAAACGAGAAAAATCACTTGGAAAAATTTGAACATAATGTTCGCTCAAATTCAATTTGAGCCCTAAAATGAATTAATTTATATATCCAATAATAAACGATGTTTTTTAAAGATGGATATGTAGGATGAAAACGGTAACAAACCCATCCTTTAAATTACAAAACCAACAAATAGTTTAATCGCATAATATATATATATATAATAAAAAAGTGTCGACACTATACTTAAAGTTAATTTTAAGTGTCTAAAAAACTTTTCATTAAAAATAGATAACTAACAATTTTTCTGTTATATTTTTAGGTGTCTAATATTTTCAACCTCATATTTTTAGGTACATAAACTATAACGGTCATTAAAAAATACACGTATATGATACATGTTAGTTATATAAAATTTTATTAAAAAATACTTAAAATTAAAATTTGTTTTAAAAAACCCAATATTTTAAAAATTATAAAAAAAACTATAATTTCAATCCATCACCACTGTCGATCGACACCAACGCCATCAATCGACCAAAACCTTGACGTCGTACGACTACCCGAACCCCCATCGATCGAACTCCCATGCTTCACATGATCATTGTAGTGAAAATTGACGATTGCAGCGTGGAGAACTCTTTTCAGCCTATCACAAAAATCTTGTATTTACATAGCCGTTGGGCGTTCAATTAGTCATGAAAATAAGGGGTTTCGATCATTGGATGGTTGTCCAGTCAAATAATGTTGGGTGTTTGGCCAAATGACGACAGTGGTGGTAGACAATGATGCTAAGAGATTAAAATTAGGGTTTTAAGAGATTTTGAATTTTTTTTGATAATTTTATAAAATTTTGGGTTTTTTAAAATAAAATATTGTTATAAATTATTTAATTTAAATAAAAATTTAAAGTTTTATAAACATGGTATGTGTCACTTACCAGCCGAATTTAACGATGTTATAGTCTAGGCATTTAAAAGTGTAACGTTACAAATGTCAAACACCTATTTTTTAACAAAATTTTAGATATAGTTTGAAAATTATTGTTGCATTAAACCTTGTTTAATTAGATTCCAATCGTCTGATTAACAATCATTGAGGTATTTATTTAGTTTGAATGCTTTCCAATAGAGAACAATATATATGGCATAGGTATAACAAAATTCGAGTTGATTTATAGATTTTGTACGTCCGAATAATATAAATTTTTGGGCAAATTAAAAATTTGGTAACTAAAATTTACTCTCTCCTATTTCAGTCATTGTACTTTAATTTTTTCAATTTTCTAACTAAACTTAATATATTTGATTTTTTTGCACTCCATCACTAAATAGTTAACGACGTTAAAATGGACAATTATATAAATATAAACATCATTTTGGTGAAAATTTTATTTTTCTAAAATGGTGTTGATTTTAATGTTGTTAACTATTTAATAATGGAGTGACTAAAGCGAAAGAGTAAAGTTCAGTGACAAAAAAAAAACTCAATGTATTAAATTTAGTGAGGAAACTGAAAACTTTTAAAGTTCAATGAGAAAAATATATGAGAGAGTAAAGTTCAATACTAAAATTTGCAAATTACCCTAAACTTTTTTTGAAAACATGAAAATGATAGGATGACTACAATCATGAAGAATGTTCGTTTCGCTCTATCTCATTCGATATTTATCCATCTATCATATTTATATTTTTAAGATATATGTTAAAGTTGTATCCCTTTTGTTCGACTATACATATTAAAATTCATCAACGGTTTTATTCATCTATCAAGGTAGAGTTTCGGAGGAACTCAATTTCTAATCTCTCTCCGTAATCTAAATTATCCTAGTAATTACTTGATAATTAGTGTTTACTAATCACCATGTCTAAATTAAATGAGCCTTTTAGAATATTTGAAGAATTTTCTGATGTGAATGAATGATGTGTTATTATAATTTATTTACATTAATAAATTATTCAAATTTAATCCCAAAAAAATATAATAATGACAAGAATTTAAGGATGTCATTCAGTTTCAAATTTTAAAACCCGCAAAGTGTGTTTCGACTCATAATTTAGTGAAAAGCCAAACCAAATCGAATACACCCCTACTCGGTAGCACGAGTTTTAAAAAAATATGAAATAGGTACAACAATTTTTCCAATGATTTAGCTGTGACTTAATCAATGATGGAAAACTGCATTCTCAACTTGATCAAATTCCAAGCATGTAGGTTGATGAAACGAAAACAAAATCTAAAATCACTTGAACACTCAACTTTAACACCGAGTTCATAGCATACCAAAATCATAAATGCAAAAACATTATGGCCACCAATGCCATTAAATCCATAAATTGACTTCAAAATTAACATGATGCTAACCCTATTTCTCCGGCCAGAGGAAAAACAGATAATAACTTAGCAACTCAACGCTTTCCGCCACCGCCACCGAGCTTGGGACCTTTAGGTGCGCCAACCTTTGGAACATTACCCTTTCCCTGTGTCTTCTGTTGCTTTGACGCTACTTCAGCTTTCTTTGCCTTCTTTTCATCCTTAGTTTTCTTGATTCTTTCCTTGATTTCTCTGCAGGATTAAGATTAACGTATTCCCCATAAATACAGAAGCTTACATGAAAGCCTGCAACGACTATGATAAATGAAGCTTACATGTCAAATGAAAATACACACACCTGAGTGCAGCTTCCCTGGCAGCATCACGGACTTCAGGTTTCTCACTCCTCTTCTTCTGGATAACCTCTAAAGTGGCACCGACAATTGATCGGGAGTAAGGCTTCTTGGTAGCACGTCTCCTCTTCTTAACAGCCTCTTGGGCGATGTCCTAAATGCATGCAAACAACACAGAAATAAATCACTGGGCTTGGAAATGACAAAATATAAAAGGCAGTAAGTTTTAATCAGTTACTATAAATCATGCACCCTAGTTCCAGCTTTTATCAGATTGCTATAAGAACAGAAAAAGAGAAGCCTAAAATTGTTCAATTTTATTCACTTTATATCAAACATTAACACGTAGTCATAAAATCGTATTACTAAAAAAAAACACGACCTAGATATAATTACAACAGATGCTGCAATTTTCTGTATAGATATGTGCAATTGTAATGTTGATACTCACCTTCTTATGTTGCTTCCTATACATGGCTGTCCACGTAAGTTTTGATGGCTTCAGACGGTTGTGGAAGTATCTCTTGCATTTTGAATTCGAAAAGAGGAAGACCTAAAAGAGTCCATGAAGGCAATTTTTCATTACAAACGTAACCATATAATATTAACCACTTCGAATCACAACTAAAAGAAAATTTACCTGAGAATCAGAACGCACAAATCTTATGCCTTTCCCAGGGTATATCTTGGCACCACTAAATCGGCAAAGCTCCGTCCTACCATGCCAAGATCATAAGTTCAGTATGAGATTTGGGATATTAAAAATATAAAATCATTATGCATAATGCAAGAACATCAATAGATAATTAAAATTTCCACAAGGTAATCTCCACCAAATCTAATGTATAACGATACAATAGCCTAATCATTCACTTCAACTATCATGGTATTAACTATATTTAACAATTATCACCATTAGAAAGAAGATTCATTGCAGTTGAAATGAACACAAGAACCTTCAAGTGACATTAGCTGCAAAATCTCGATGCCAGAACTAAAATAACATTCCATTTCCATTCACAATGCTAAGAACTAATTATATTTCTTTCCCATGAAACTTTAGCAGCCAATATATTTTATATTTTATTTTCAGCAAAATAAATTCAAAACATTCAGCTTCGATAAACTGATAAAATCCCAAAAAAAAAGTAACCGGTTAAATATAAAATACTTCAAAAACGAAAAATAAACAACAATCTGGCTGCCGAGAAATGAACAAGTAAAATGGAAATTTTAAGAGATAGATTTAACTACAATCGATGAACATCAACTCAATAGTTAAATTACAAGCAGGCTGATAAAATAAAACAAAACCAAAAGCATATCCTGCTGTAAACAATTTCTTTTTTTATTTCAAAAATGAAAGTTTTTCAAGATCATAACATTAAATTTCGATTAAGGAACATTTCAAAGCAAAAAAAAAAAGATGCAGGGAACGTACTTGAGAACCATGTTTGCTGCTGTTGCTCTGTTCCTTTGATTTGGAAACCCTAGCGGAGTTGCTATGTATCGAAGGGGGTTTGAAGACCTTATATTGTTTTAGAATTACGGATTTACCCTGAACGGGCTGCAAATTGGTGGATAAATGAATATGGACCAAGCCCAGTAATCTAAAGACGAAGCCATTGTTAACGCTCTTCTTTTCTCTTTTCCTGCTTCAAACCTTTGACAGATTAACGTGACTAAATAAATAATCGGTTAATAATCATTATTGTATTTTTATTATTCCCCTATTTTTAGTACATAATATTAAATAAAATAATACTTAAGAACTTTTTTTACGCTAAGTAAAAATAATAGAAAAATTACTCAGCACAAAACAATCAATTAAATTCTTAATTTACGCTCGGTGGCGAATACTATCGGTCTCAATAAACGAATACCCTTTTCAAACTCCGCATTCTTAATGATTTTAAAATTAAATAAAGATCGAACTCAAAATTTTTATTTTAAATATAGGGTAACCAATTATGTACCAATTTTTGGGCGCTTGTGGTAGTGCTAATCTTTCCCCCACGCTTAACTGACTCCCGAACCTGATTTCTGGATTTTTACAGACCCCAAAACTCGATATTTTATTAAAAAATGTTTTATTAAAATCACCCAGTTTTTACGGTGTTCCAATCTCACCTTAAATGATTGGTGGCGACTCCTCACATTTCGAAATGATTTCAAAGAGAAAAACTCCGAGTCGGTATCAATCTTTCCCCGCCCGGGCGAAAAACGGTGTCGACACCTTGGCGACTCCGTTGGGGACTTTTTTTAAAACAAATTGAGAGTCGAGCCACGAGTTGGTTAACCTATATTTATTATTTGGAAATTACGAGTTCGATCTTATTTAATTTACGGTTCATTATGTTATTTTAAAAAGAAAAAACATATTTCTCTCTGTTAATGCTTTAACTTTTGTGGAATTATTTAGGATTGTTACATATCATAGCTCTGAACCCGAGCTCAAACCTGGTTTACGTAAGTAGAGAGAAACGTCACACCTCACGAGGAGCATTGGGCTTCCTTGTGTGGGTCTGACAAAGTATCTCTGGAAAGCACCCTAAGATGCCTATCTGGATACCAGTTCCAAGGTACGCTTTTAGTGGTGTGATCCCCTGAGCTGAACCCGATTCGCAAGTCTGTAATGGGCCAGAATCGGGGTCAACCTTAGCAGGTTATAAAAATTTCTCGGGAACTTTGCTAAAACCCTGCCACATATAGAGAATTTAGTAAGCCTACCTCGCTAGAGCCATGTGGACAACCTAAGAGAACTATAACACATGCGGTTAGGATTATTAATTTTCTTTGTATGCCATATGCTTTTCAGTCTCAGCTTTGAGTCGTATTTAATTATTTTTGCTAAGATTACATTTCTTGGACTAATCATTTCAACTAACTTGATTCTTTCTGTTTTGCTTCTACTAACATTGGTTTTCTCTTGGCTGCTCTTATTTCATTTTTGCATGAACATGACATATCATTCAAAGGTATTGATCCCTAAATAACTGATCGTGTAAAAGGTTCTTGAAAAACAATACCACAGTAATGTATTTCTCTAGGATCGGTAGGAATTCGAAGATGCTTCACGTAGATCGAGTAGCTAGAGGGAGCTATCTACCAAGGAGACGATCCAGATATTTGCCTACTGAGGTAACAAGTTGGACTCGAGACAATTCAACGCTGAAGCCAACAGTTGAAGATCACGAACCAGCTTGAAATTTTTTTTGAAGTAGGAGATGAAGTAGGAGCTAGAGGGAGTTTACCTACCAAGAAGACAATCTAAACATTTGCCTACTGAGGTAACAAGTTGGACTCGAGATGATTCGACGTCGAAGCCAACAGTTGAAGATTACGAGCCAGCTCGAAAGATTTCTGGAAGCAGGAGATGAAGTAGAAGCTTTGAAGATGATGCAGTACCCAGATGCTCGCATGAGCTGGACAACTTACAGATGGACAAAATCTTTACTTCCCTAGTGTACTAAGACATTGTCGGTTTTTCGAGAATTGTTCTAGGAATAGTTCTTTTGGGATCAATTCCTTATTGTATTTGCATCTCGCATTTTGCACTCCCATTTTTGTATCTTTGCATTTTCATGTACATCTTTTCATTAGTATATACACATTGTGCATTACATGGCATCTCAACATGTGCATTAATCATGTACCCCGATAGTAACTCATGGATAATCTTGTGATAAAAGTTTTGAGTCAGTCTTTCGTACCAAAAAAGAATTGAAAGCTATGAATGTGATATTAATACCATATGAAGATCAAGGCACCTCATTGAGAATTGTGGGGCACTGAAACGCAAGATCCAGAATCTGATGTATTCAGGGGCATGGAGATGAGGGCATTGCATCTACCACGTGCATTGATAGCATTGTTTTGTTAGAACTCATTTTAGTTTTGTCTTTCATATTGGCTTAATCTTTTAATGATTGAACTTATGCTACCTTCTAAGGTTGAATAATTGAACGAATTTTAATCTTTAGTTCTTTGATTATCAAATGAGTTAAGGATTCTTTTAATTCTTTAAGAGTTAATAATGATTCTTTTAATTCTTTAAGAGTTATAGATTTTTGACATATGACAAGATTAGACATTTCATATCCTAAGTAAAACCCCAAAAATATAATCTCTTGATTCCTTACCCAAAATAATTCATGGTCACTACCAAAGAAACAAATTTTGACTTTTCCTCTATTTGAGACCTTGAAACATTGCTTTTATCTTTTCGATACACAAAAAAGGTCATACCTGTAACACCCATAACCCGTATAATTATACCTATACAGATTATAGATGTTATCCGAATTTCTAAAACCATTTTACGATTCAAAAGCGATTTAAAATTTATTTTCTTAAAATAGTAAATGATATTATAAAAATATCATATCATATAATATTACGTTTCGTTATAACAATTTAATTCAAAATATTTTTATTTATGAATAGTGAATAGTACCCGAACAGTGAACAGTGGGGGAATCGATTCCCTGTAGCAGGGGAATCGATACCCATTTAATAATCTGGAAATTTTGCTTAAAACGTGGTTACTGTTCATGTTGCAGTAACTGCTATAGTAATTTCTGAAAATTTCTTATTAACTTATAAAAACTTAACATTTCCTCACTATAAAAATTCTATTTTTGTTTCCAACTAGATTCAACAAAATAAATTGAATATTATTAATTACATGCCACTATCTATTTCAAAATTTCACAATAGGATGTCTTACTGATATTGAAATATACCTCTCGATGCTTGATGTCACTTTGAACTCTTTATTCTTATTCTTTGCTTTTTACCTACGCGTGAAAATCATCACACGCTAAGTATAAACTTAGTGAGGCAATTAAAACAATATACAGTGCAATACAATTCATACATGAATTTTCAATGTAAAAAATCAAATTTCCATAAAATCATTTTACTAACATATCCAATATTTTACCATGATCAAAATAATATAAAATCTTTTACCATTTTCCCATAAGCCGTAAGCTTATTTTACCAAAATACTTACCATTTAAATTCCATAAGCTCATAAGCTTATTTTATACAAAATACTTACCATTTAATCTCATAAGCTCGTAAGCTTATTTTACACATATACTTGCCATTATTCCAAAAGCTCGTAAGCTTATTTGTATGCTTACCATTTATTAAACAATAAACCATAAACCATAGCCTATAGCCCAATATACAACCCTGAGGACCCTGGGTATTTGAGTACTATTTGCACCGTAGTGCTACACATAAGGTCGTGCCCACCATATACACCGAAGTATATTATAAACCTGCAGCTGCTATACTCTATGGCATGCCAACTATACCCTGTCCCTCAATGACTTATTTGGGCATATAGTCTACTTTATTCGATCCATCCATGGCAAAGTATATTATCAAATTTAACATTGGGCAGTTCATACCCGAAATAACATTCATGGTAAAATATCACATTTTTCATGATCAATGCATTTTAATTCCATACTCTGACATATCAATGTCAATTTATAAAAATGATATAAAATCATGCCGATATAAACAAGGTCGACTTATCGCAAGTCTTCCTTATGATGTATAAAACATCCATGTATAACTTCATGCATGTATTGCACTCACCTTGACACTTTATATTTTTCAAAATATTTGTGCCTCACTATTGTCCACAATATACCCTTTTTATACTTGACTTGCTTCAATTGCAAATCAACCATGATCTGTATAATCACAAATTTATAACAATACATATGTTAGATTTTACTAAATAAAATACATTCCACCATATCTCCATACTATATTTGAAATTCATCATCTATCAAAATATTCAACTCTTAATAATTCCTTATAACATTGGAACCAACTTTTCTAATTTACCCAAAATGGTCTTCACCATTTTACCACTTAAATTCTTAATACCAATAATTCCAACATTGAAATTATTTCCATTCAAATGCTTTTACAAAAGCATAAATACATTTAAGTACCCCAACTATGCAATTATTGTACTTAAATCACCAATCATTTCAATCTTCCCAAAATAATCAATTTCACATCTAACACTTATTTCAATTCTCAAACAACAATTTCCAGCATAGTACATCAATTATACAACACTTACACAACAACCCATTAATTTTCCAGAATTCAGACAACTCGCACTACCCTTAAAGAATCATTATTCTGTATTGATATAGACAGTGAAATTCAATTTCGTTTCTTCCGTTAAAAACTAGACTTGAATACGAATATATCCATATAAATAAATCCTTCTAATTCATTCTGTACAATTTATGGTGAATTTTCAAAGTTCACCAACAGAATCTGTTTTGTACAGAATTCTGCTGTCCGACTTTTCTGACCTTTCCTCAGTTAAAAATTCATATATATTTGTATACAACTTGAAATTGATCCCCGTTTGTTTTAAAAAAACTAGATCCATATATGAACATAATATATAAAAATAACCTCCAAATTATTTTTATATATTTTCTGGTGAATTTTCGA